GCTTCTTGAAGTTGAGATCGATTTCTTCTCAATTTTCTTTTTGATGATTTATATTTTTTTCTGGCTTCTTTACAATCATCGTCAAACCACGGTTTGGATGCCTTCTTATATTTTTTTTAAAATTTGGATTACGTTTTCGCTGGGTATATGTGCCGAAAGTACTCTTAGCTGCATCGGTTAGTAAATTACTTATACTCTCAACTGCGGTATTTATGGTTGTTTCACTTGTTGCGTTGTCAACCATATTTAAAAGTTCAAGTTGACAACTGGATGTGTGATGAGATGATTGAAGCTGTTAATTTTCTCCTTGATAACATTTGTGTACGTTTCGGCAATAAAGTTTATTGACAGGTTGTAGGTATACAACACTGTAATAAGATCTTTGAATATGGGTGATGTTTCTTTGATACCATTTTACGATGTTTATATATCACAACTCGTTCGCTAGTGTTCTGTAGTGACGTTTTGGATTTCAATGAACGCTGTCTATGTATTACTGGTAAATTATTTTAAAAGTCAGGAATTTCGTAACCACAAATTACTTAAAACCGTTACTAAATTCTTCCATAGATATATATTGGAAAATTGGCTGTACCTGTAGAAAACTTATTTCAAACGGAATAGCACGTCCTAATTTTTACGGAGATGTTATTTACCGAGCCGGAAATTTCGATACGATCCGGGTAAATTTATCGATCCTTTAAATAAACTTATTCTACCAAGGTTACCAATTCAATTCAACACTGTAATTAGATCTTTGAATATTGTTTTTATTGGTATAAATATTGATTTTGTTTTCAGTAAATTGAAAGCAAACTAAATATTATTCTTGTATACATATGCACTTTCATGGCTCTACAAGCTGTCGATACCTGTATTTTGGCATTGCACAAGGTCATGTTTATATCTGACTGTTAATGACTTCTTTACACTAAATCCATTGGATGTTGGATGTGTACTGATTGGTATTTTAGTCTTATATGCACGATTTTTTCATTAGTTGTTATTGGCTTTGAACTAGCTATCAGTAACTGCGAGTACTCTTAGATTTGTACTTAATGTCTTTTTTTGTTGTGGGGATGTATAAATACCCTTCCATGTCCGGTCTGTGTTTTTGTTAGATGTTTTTCTGCATTATATCGATCTGATGAGTTGAGCCCTTTTCAACTGGTTTTTATTTTTTTAAATTTTGCGGTCGTATATTGGTATGACGTTGGCGTCGTCGTCGTTGTCGTCGTCGTCGTCCGAAGACACATTGGTTTTCGCACTCTAACTTTAGTTTAAGTGAATGGATCTCTATGAAATTTTACCATAAGGTTTAATACCACAAAAGGAAGGTTGGGATTGATATTGGGGGTTATGGTACCAACAGTTAAGGAATTAGGGGCCAAAAAGGGGCCAAAAATAAGCATTTTTGTAACTTCCAGACATAAGTTGTGGGGTTAGTGTATGGATCTCTCTGACATTGTACCACAAGGTTTCATATCACAAAAAGAATGCTGAGATTGATTTTGGGGGTAATTGCCTCAAAATTTTTGGAATTAGGGGCCAAAAAAGGGGCAAAAACAAGCATTTTTCTAGTTTCCAGACAATAACTTGTGTATAAGTGTATGGATCTTTCTGAAATTGTACTACAAGGTTCCATATCACAAAGAGGAAAGCTGGAATTGAGGTTGGGGGTAATTGCCCAAAACGTTTAGGAATAAGGGGTCAAAAAGGGGCCAAAAATAAGCATTTTTCTAATTTCCAGACAATAACTTGTGTTCAAGTGTATGGATCTCTCTGAAATTGCATTGCAAGGTACCATATATATACCACAAAGGGAAGGCTGGGATTGATTTTGGGGGTAATTGCCTCAAAATTTTAGGAATTAGGGGCCAAAAAGGGGCAAAAAACAAGCATTTTTCTAGTTTCATGACAATAACTTGTGTGCAAGTGTATGGATCTTTCTGAAATTGTACTACAAGGTTCCATATCACAAAGGTAAAGCTGGAATAGAGTTTGGGGGTAATTGCCCAAAACGTTTAGGAATAAGGGGTCAAAAAGGGTCCAAAAAGTGTATGGATCTCTCTGAAATTGTACTGCAAGGTACTATACCACAAAGGGAAGACTGGGATTGATTTTGGGGGTAATTGCCTCAAAATTTTAGGAATTAGGGGCCAAAAAGGGGGAAAAAACAAGCATTTTTCTAGTTTCAGGACAGTAACTTGTGTGTAAGTGTATGGATCTTTCTGAAATTGTACTACAAGGTTCAATATTACAAAGGGAACGCTGGGTTTGAGTTTGGGGGTAATTGCCTTAAACGTTTAGGAATTTGGGGCCAAAAAGGGGCATAAAAACAAGCATTTTTCTAGTTTCCAGACAATAACTTGTGTTCAAGTGTATGGATCTCTCTGAAATTGTACTGCAAGGTACCATACCACAAAGGGAAGGCTTGGATTGAGTTTGGGGTGATGAATCATAAGGGGGTTCAAAAAATTTGGGGGAGGGATTTTTTTTCCCTTTTTTTTCTTTAAAATTTTCCATTTTGAATTGGTTATTTCTGATTTATATATTAAGGCAAATAATAATGATATGGTTTGAATAGGTAAATTAAAATTTTTAGAAGTTCTTAGACCACATTCATTCTGTGTCAGAAACCTATGCTGTGTCAAATATTTAATCACAATCCAAATTCAGTGCTGTATCAAGCTTGAATGTTGTGTCCATACTTGCCCCAACTGTTCAGGGTTAGACCTCTGCGGTCGTATCAAGCTGCGCCCAGCGGAGCATTTTATTATAGTTTGTTCTTATGTTGTACTGTTACACCACTGGAGGTTTGGTGCCAGAAAACATGTTAAATTCCGCCACATTCTGCATGTGCCTATCCCAAGTCAGGAGCCTGTATTTCAGTGGTTGTCGTTTGTTGCTTTATAAGATTTTTGTTTTTTGTTCATTGTTTTGTACATAAATCAGGCCGTTAGTTTTCCTCTTTTGAATTGTTTTACATTTGTCATTTCGGGGCCTTTTATAGTAGTTTGCCTTTCTGATATTCTTTGACAGTGAACATCCCTTTAATATTGTCAATTTCAATGTTGAGTTCCCGCCGACAAAGCAGTTTGGTTTAATATTAAATCATGAGATAATGCAATTGCGTCAGTCTCTTGATTTGTATCTTCGTAAAGAATTTTCTCGGAAACTGACTGTCTATTCCTTTAAGTGAAGCACACGGCACTAAATGATGACAGAAAAAAAACACGACTTGCTCTGAGTAAGAATAATATGTCCGAGTACATTAATATGTCTCCTATTGGGCTCAATCGTAAAAAAAACCTAGTCCGGTGTGTTGGTCGAGTACACTTTGGACAGGATTACTATCATATTGATTAATTCAATGTTTCAACAACCGAAATAAAGCCATTGCGTGACAATGAGACGTTTCATTACAACTTACAGAATCGCCAAATGTCAATGCAGCATCTGTCATTTACAATCTGAAGTGACCTACCTTTTGTGTTTATATATTTTGCTGTATATAATGCATTGTATATTATTTGTTGATCGGTAATACATAATGAAGAACAGAAAAATAATAATTTGTTTTTTAATGTTTGGTTTATGTCTTATTTATTGTGTTATTTTTCATGCATACATTCCCCATAATCTTGTCCGCTCATATAAAATATCAGATTTATCTTTTACTTAGATATAACCGCAACTATACACCACCGTAAGGCCTTCAACAATGAGCAAAAACAATACCGTATAGTAAATTATAATAAAAAGCCCCATAATGACAAAATTTGTTTACATTTTGATTGTCTTATGTGATTAAATAAACCCTGTCAATGTTTAAACAATGTTAAGTGCTGATATCTCTCAGATACTGATCAAAATGTTGAACCATTCTGAAAGACATCTCTTTTTTTCCAATATGTGTCCTTATAATTAAATAAATTGGATGGAAAACTGATCTTGCATGATAGTGTCTTCTCAATAAAATGTCTTTCACGAACCGATCGCGATAATTGAACGCCGTTACTTCTTTCATGATATAACGAATAAAGGCCGTGGTTGAGTAACCTGGCATATTTTTACAGATTTGTAAACTTCGGTAAACACAAACAATGTTTCACATGAGCAGTTTTCATCGCGGCCTAACATTTGAGCATGTTTATCAATGAGAAAAACCCTCTTTAAATACACACAATGACACGTAAATCGATAGTTTTAACAAATGGCCGACATAAACAACTACAGTTATTTAAAAAGTATGTATGTCAGCTTTTTAATGATTTTTGACATTTTTACTTAAATTGTGACAGAAATAATAATTATGTGTTACTAGAACTGGCTGATTGTGTAGATTCAAAACAAGCGGGAAACGAAACGTTTCAACAACAATAGACAGTATCCCTGTTGCGGATATATACGATTATGTATTTTTGGATATTATACAATCAGTCACGTTATAAAATAAGATTTTGGGTACTCACCAAAGAGATAGCAACCTAACGACAAAACGCACATAGAACATAGAAATGCAAACGATATAGTTTTCAACAATAGACAGACGTATATATGCAAGCAAAGTAAGTCTCATCTGGAAGAAAAAGTTTTTATATAAAATTAATTTGATTACATGAGAATCCTTTAACTTAGCAAAACTCACATTTGTGTGGAAAATAAACGCCATTAAATGCTAGTCTCCAATACTGGATAGAGAGAAACTCAGGAGAGACACCATCTTTTAAATCATTGGACATGCTGTCCCAGTCAGGAACTTCGCCTGTGGTTGTATTTCTATGACCATACTGAATTGATTTTGCCCTTTCGGGAATTTGTTGAAGATTATATGTCGATCTCTAGCTGCCTTTTGATTTTTGTGTCCTCGGGGTTGTTATCTCATTGACATTAACCTGAATCTCCTTTTATTATATATATTCCATTGATATATCAGTTCTTTTCAATTGTCTTCACAAATGACGTATTTCTTTTTTAACAAAGAACTATAATTTTAGATCAGAAGAAACATCAGTACTCCCGAAAGTCAGAACTACAAGGTATGATTTGAAATTTGTTTCGCTATAATGCTGCACAAATCTGGAATGAGCCGCCCCGTTGTCGCATGGAAACATCTTTTGACCAATTCAAAAATATTTGGTACAAACATGGGATCCAAATATGGATATACTATGTGTAGTTTATATGTCGTATACCTATAGTAACTGTTTTTATGTTTTTGGTAAATGAAGATGGAGAAATAATAATAAAAAAAAGAAATAACAGCGCATGCCAGTTCAGTGCATGCATATAGTGCTTAAATGCTTGTGATTTTTATTTTGTCTGACTGCTTGATTTGTATAGCTTTATTGTTGCTATTATCTGCTGTGCTTAATATTCTAACTAATGCTATGTTTAAGATATACTTTAATTTGTACTCATATTACCACAAAATATGACTGAAACTATGCATTTAAGTTTTATATGTCATCCATATTATCTTACCGTGCACTGTATGTTTAAAATTGTGTTGTTTTCATGACTTTTGTATGTGTGTATATATTTTGTTATTCAGTTGATTTGAAAAGGTCAATATAACTTATGTTTATGTAGTTCAATGAATTTCTACTTTAGATAAAACTTTATATTGAATTGAATTAAATTTTAATCTAAGCTATATTCAAATTAACTCAATTCAAATCAGTTTATTTTTTTCTAATTAATGGCATGCGTGCGATACAGTTTCACGTTATATTGTCACTTTTATAATTTTGAAATAAGTTGTAGGCCAGGGCGAATTATAAACAAAAAACACTAGATAAAACACAGATCACCGTGCTTGTTTTGAGAAAATTGAGGCTGAAAATTGGGGATGTTTGCACTTTTGTAGAAAAGTTAAGCAAAGTTATAAAAATTTTGGACTAGATATTCTTCGTCATGCATTAATATGATTGGATTCAATCTGAAGCTGCGATAAGTGAAAGTAAGGGGGAAATCCATACAAGAAAGACTAGTTAATCATTAAAGCCATGCTTAAAATTACGGATAAGATGCTAAAAGTGGGATTTTTTTAAACCTTAAAATGTAGAAATCGAGAAGTTCTTATAATGTCATTTTTCTCATTTTTCTTCAATGACTGCCTCTTGTCATGCTTTCTGGAAACAGAAAATAAAAAAAACATGTCACCGTGCTGGATTCGAAGATAAATCTCCATTAATCTTAATAAACTGTTATCACAGAGATATGTCTCGCTTTTTGTAATTCTGATAATGCAAATGTTGAAATTAAAATGGCAATACTTAACAAGTTAGGCTAATATTAACATTATCAGTTCATCTTAAACTGATCTTATCACAAACTAATACATGTAAACTAAGCAAAAGTTTCAAAGTCAATAGGCCATGACTGAGGGGATGGGGCCAAATAATCTCCATGGAAATGAGATATGCCAATGCTTATACAACTGCATACCAAATATCATTGACCTACCACTAATGGTTCCTCATAAACTGACCTAATCACAAACTAATACATGTAAACTAAGCCAAAGTTTCAAAGTCAATAGACCATGACTGAGGGGGCAGGGCCAAATAATCTCCATGGAAATGAGATGTGCCAATGCTAATACAACTGTATACCAAATATGATTGACCTACAACTTGTGGTTCACCACAAACTAGACCTAATCACAAACTAATACATTGTTGACGCCGCCGCCGCCGCCGCCGTCGTCGTCGTCGTCGCCGACGCCGGAAACAGCATACCTATGTCTCGCTTTTTGACTCCGTCAAGCGAGACAAAAAGTGCGTCTCCCCTCGGTAACCTCATCGTTAGCGTGAAAATGGTTGACGTCGCTGGCTGAAAATTTCGACGTCTCTCGCCAATTATCCCTGCAAGGTTATCGGCGACATTTTTCGGGTGTATATATATATATATTATATGTTTAATTGATCCAACTTTTTGTGTACTATACATATATGGATATCTATTTTTCTTTTTTTCTTTTTGGGCTGCTTGTTTGTTTTCTATATCAACCACACTTGCAATAAAATGCATTAGTATTAAAAAAAAACATACTATAGATTCTTTATCTACGTATTCTTTAAGAACTTAAATAGTTCTCGTTTAACTTTTTTTTTTTTATCTCATTGTTTGTATTGTATTATGAAAAATTATTGATGTTGTAATGTTTATGCCCTTTGGGGCCCATAATTGGAAATAAAATATCTTATCTTATCTTATATATTGCTTATAAAGAGCTACCTGAAAATAATGATATTGTTTTTGGAAATAAGAACGTGTATCATAAATACCTTTATACTCTTTTTATTCTGTTCATGTCCCAAGTGAGAAACACCTCAGGAATAGTTATTGCGGACTGTTGAATTTCTTTACGGCTTAATGTAAAGACTCGCGCCAATTTAGAGCTAACCATGTCGGTACTGTGTACACACTCGTGTATTGTTTTAGACCATATGTTGACCTCTAGATGTTTTTTTGTTTTGGTTGGTAGTCTGCTGTTTCATTGACATACCCCCCAAAAAACAAATATCCTTTTGTTTACATTTTAATCTTTTTTTAAAAATTTCACATTTATTCATAAAATCAAACTGTTATTCGGGTTATACAGTTGAATAAAACTTTACAATAATTTTGTGAAATTTTTCATAATTTTTAATCAAACAAAAATGATTGAATTTATATCTGGAAGATGGGACATGTCACCTATACATTGTACATCCCCCATAACTTTGGATTTGGTTTTTGCGTCCTTTTTATTCATCTCTCAAATTTCCAACATATACCGAAATTACAATTTTAATTCAAGTCACTTAAAGCATTTGTAATCTGTTTAGTACATGTTCAGAAATATCACATACTGTTGTAGAAACCTCAAAGTATAGCTGGGATGGTTTAGTGCAGATTTAAAGACATTTAAAAAAAAATGCCATTAGTGTGTAATCTAAAATTTATGGAAAACTGGCACGTCCTCTTTTGGTTTTGTACTATTAAATTGGCATACTTTCTCCTCGTAATAACCAGTATTTCACGGTTTTTTTTAGTTGTTCTTCAAGTTTCGGTTAAAATCAGGATACTTTCCTTACAGTGTAATTTTGTTAGTAAATAACTATACATATTTTGTATCATCGTTAATAATGGCGGCTTACCATTATTACCGCGTCCTCTCATATTTGACATACATAAATGGAATAAAATGTTCCCTGAGGAAATTTACTTCTTTTGAAGTGTTGATGTTTTGTTATACAAGGGATTACAATAATCAAAAGTGGATTTTTGAGCTATCTGAACTTTTGATATGAGATTTTAAAGATCATTGACAAAACATTTGATATGGACTACTTGTAACTAAAATGCGCTGTAAAACTAATTTTTGTTTGCGTGCTGTGACACTAACGGGCTGTCAGAAAATCGGATCCAAATCAAAACTCGGTCTGGAATGAATGATAATAAAATGATAATAGGCATGCATTATGTTAACACCAAAGGGGTCAGTCGTCTTGAGATTGCTTACTCTACGATATTTTATTGACTTCATTGTTGAAGACCTCACAGAAGCTTCAAGATGAGGATCAGCAGATACATTTATATGTGTTTATAATTTCTTGTGATTTCATTAGACTTTTATTCCTTGTAGACATGACCAAAATGTTAGAACTCAACTGCATTAATCTAGAGCGTAGAAATTTACGTGTGTGAGAAACTTGGATCATCGTTTATACTTTAATATCGTTCAACAAACGGTTTTTTTTTATTGACGATAATTACTCGTATAACGTCCCGCCGAAAGTGACGTTTTACGGGAATATTCGAACGCTTAACGTCGCGCTAAGAGTTAACTCCCTTGAAACGGTATTGGATCAATACCCTTAAAGGGCCCTTAAGGATGTATTCTTCTGATGTTTCAGTCTCGTTGAAATCTCGTTCGGGAATTATTTCCAAAACATGTGATACAAGTGGAAAATATCAATGAATTTAAAAAATATTATAATCAAACTAAACTCTGTGAAAAAATTGTGTACTTACTATAAGTAGTTTTTAAGTAATAAAATTTTCAAATTTTATATCCAATCCGGTCAGTGTCATCAGCCAAAATGTTGAGAAAATGGGTGAGGAATACAAAGAAATGATATTACCAAAACATGTACATCCCATATCAATTTTTTCTTTTCAAAATTCTTAGATATGTTTTATTTCAATCATTTATAACAAAGAAGTTGAAATAATATGCTTTTTGATCTAAAAAAAGAGAAAAATCACAAATTTACAAAATTGACAGCATGGTAAATTTGACACGAAAAAGCAACAAAATTTTATAAAACTTTCTAATTTTAACACCAACCTATAGTTTTTTTTAAGTTAAATTTATTCAGATTGGTCCACTTCATCTTTAGTGAAAGTATGAAAAAAAATTTAATTGTGAAACTGTGATTTTTTTCATGATAATAGTCCAAAAATGGGTAAAAATTGATGAAAAATGGGAAAATCATTAAAAATGGGTACTTTCAAATGGCCGTAGCTAAAAAAGAAGTGCACTACCATATAATTTTTTCTTCATCAATTACTTTCTTACAGTCATATGAACCCAAAAATCAGGTTAAGAAAAAAGTTTAATTCTAGAATTTTTTGGCTCCTCTGAGGTGTACATCCTTAAGGGTATAAAGATAAACAATCTTTTTCTCTCGCTTCAAAATTTATGTTTAGACAGTTGCATAAAGATGTTATAAATAAAGCTTTTGTCACCTTTTGTCATTATCCTAATGAATAAAATGTCTAAGATTAGTATTCTCAATTTTGGATATTAAATAAACTAATAGACTATCAAGTAAAATGTTTCTTGGTGCTACATATAGAGGATATCGCAATACAAAATGGAGCTCGTTCTTAATCACCTTTAAATTGCAATATTGACAAGGTCTTTCGTATCTTTGAATATATTCTATTTTACCTAAAGAGTTTAACCTTCGTTTATGACAGTCATTTTCTATTATTTGTGATTACTTAATTTCAATTTAGTTAAAATTTGACAATCATCAGTATGTGTATAGAACAAATATTTATCTCTAACAGAGGAGAATTTAAGATATGTAATTTCTTTGCCTTTATCACGTAGAAGACCTTACTTCCTTCCTGGTCTCAAGAAAGCTGTTCCTGAGACAACTTTTAAGTGATTTCTTATATTAATGTTCAATCCAGTGTTTACAATTGGTCAGATCAATGTTTATTTTTTCACCATAAAAGAAGAGTAGGTTTATCAACCAGGAGTTATGACCTTTGTTTGTGCGAGGGCAAACATTAGATATAGTCTTCTCATATCTGATATGAGACAGCTATAACTGATTTACATAGAAGTAATAAATAATACTATTTTATCTTTTCTAGATCTCTTATTGTAAAATGAACATTGATAAAATAAATAAAAAGGAAATAGTCATTATCTCAAATTTGTCAGATGCAGTCACACTTTCGGAAGAAGATGTTTTACAGTTATAGATATCTGTCATCAAATTGATACCTTATCAATGCTTTTGTATGACAATATGAATCGCTGTTCTATCTTGTCTATTTATGGTTTATGATAGCACCTCTAGTGAATATTAATATTTCACAGGTACTGACTGACGACGAACAAAATGGAAAAGGATAGTAATCTTCCAAAAGGTATGTGCCTATATTCATTATATAACACACTACAATGGGAGATTATTGCAATATACATAATAAGATATATAACTAGGAAAGAAAGTATGAAACCCCATTATCGGCCCATTAAATTTTCGATGAGTATTATTATTGTAAAGAAACCGATGAGATATACATACATTTTGCACATAAGTTAGACTTATCACTATATATATGGAGGTAAATTAAGATCTTCAATGTGCCAAAACAGCAGACAATTGTAAATTTAGTAATTGTTGTCACTAAACGGTACCACTAAACCATCAAGGTATGTCGGCGGCCAGTTTGTATTGGTGGAGGAAGCCGGAGTGCCGGGAGAAAACCACCGACCTTCGATAGGAAAACTGACAATCCTAGTCAATTAAGATTGGAGTCTAGTGCACCCGCACGAACGGGGCTCGAACTCACAACCTCAGTGTTGACTGGCTAGTTATTACAGTAGTAACTACTTAGACCACTCGGCCACCGAGGCCCCTCTGAGAAAAATGTGATGTAGAAGTATTTATTACATAAAATGCCGTTAAATGTAAAACATCAATGTATTACAGTATGAAAACTGGGATCTAAAAAACACGTATGTCCAAGATAAATAAAAAAATAAACCACTGGAAAGTCACTATTTTTTATTTTTATTTTAGAACGGAGTATCGCAATAGATGTTTCTACCGTCAGCAATGAGGAAGACAACCAATCTATCTTTCAATTGAGTAAGTGCCACAATCCATTTTATAGAGGGGATGACTGAAACGACAATAGCAGGCACAATCTTACTGTAGTAGACATCGTCGCCAGCCGTCTGTTATATAAGTAGTCCCCCTTATATAAGTTGACAAACTGCTTTATATTGGTGAATTTGTAGTTTATCCCAACGGAGTAGACGAAACTAATTTTTAGTATCCCCAGCATATTCGTCTTGATCGTTATTATTGAAAATGCGGGAAGTATCAAGTGTTGGTAAATGGACTGCATTTCACAGTCTATAATAGACTGCTGATTAACATTGAAATCAACAGTACCTGCAGATACTTAGATGACACATTTTTTTCTAAATAATCTTCAGTTATCTAAATTACAAATGATTTAATCATCTTGACGTACTCTGACCGATTCCAACTTTAAAAGTCGTCGTTATCCTCTGACTTTTAGACCTTTACTTTTTAGTGACGAAGTTCTTTACCAAATAAAAAATACACCTGTTCTTGTGAATTGAATCATAATACACTATAGTACACGTATCTTGTCAAAAAGTAAGTATAAACAAAGTTGTGAATGATGGTCCAGTACCATGGTTTTGAGGTGCATTCTTTGCTTATCCACGTCTTAATGAGGCATTTCTATAATCGTAGTTTATCTATATTTTGACTCTGACCACAAAATTCTGAAACGGTTACTGTTTTTCTGTCAAACATAATGCTTTGCCTGGAAGAAATATATTTTTTTCTAAATATACTGTGAAAAAAAAGTTAAGCAACATATATATAAATAAAAATCTTGAATAACAACTTTTCAAATTACGGAAATAATGTAGAATAAAGAGTAAAAATTGCAACATATTGTTCATCTTCTTTGTTACATTATTTGTTTATTGTTATGTTTTGAAGTCCAACTGATTAAAATGCAGATCCTGTGTCCACGCTTTGCTTTTAGATTATATTGGTTTAGAAGTGTAATTTGTTTTTGATATTTAAAATTAAAAATATTTGTTGCTTAAAATGTTAAACTCTATATATAAGTTTGCGCCTACATGAACTGTAATCTTGTTCATATCGAAAATTAAATTGGACTTTTTCTCGGTGAATAATTATAGTTTAAACAGGTCAAAACATTACAAATACTTAACATAAGCATTATAATAACTTATCAAATACTTGACCCTGTACCTTGACATGAACAGGATAAGTTCTTTGATAAAGACATTAATGTCATCTACATTTTGAGACATACATGTTTACGCAAGTTGTTAATTACAGAAAATGGGACACTTAGCATAACAAACTCACTTCATTTTTACCATTGTTGTAACAGAATAGCTTACCATCACTTTGTTATACACTAAATAAGAGTTACCATACTTACTACATTAAAAAATGTTCCGAGAAGATATCAGCCAAATATAAACGTGTATTGTTTTGTACATAAATCAGGTCGTTAATTTTTTCTCTTTTGTATTATTTTACATTTGTCATGTATGGGCCTTTTATAGTTTGCTTTGCGATATGGGTTTTGCTCATTAGTAAAGGTCGTAAGGTGACCTAACGTTGCTAACTTCAACGTCATTTGGTCTCTGGTCTCATTACGAGCATACGATACAGTTACAGGGGAGGTAATGACGTTGCTTACGTAAATGTTATTTTTCGCGACGTCAAACTGTGACATATCGGGAAAAGATACATTTATCGACTGATTTTTATCATTCAAACTGATTCAACTTGAAAACGAGTTCATGGACCCCTCTTTTTCAAAATGTCATTAGGTTTGATTACGTACGAAGATTATTTGTACCAATTTTCATGAAAAAGTTACCGATGAAATTTTTTAAAATTAGATAAATATGCAGCACAAAATGCCGGTTCTTTTTTCTAAAATCTTGAAAATTTAATAAAAATTAATTATTTCCAAAGAACTGTTACACAATTTAAGAGGATACTTTTGTAAAGAAGATATTCCAAATCGTTTTATAGAAGTCCGCATGTGATTATCTTTTGAAACAAAAAAGTTTTAATATGTCTATACAAAGGATAGAAATGTCCAAGAAACCGAAATTTTAGATAAATGTCTTAAATTTCGACCCCATTTATCTCTAAATTTAGAAGATGAAGGTATATTTTTTATTACATATTTGAATTGTACAGGTGAAAAATAGCTTGTATGCAAATTTTCGTAAAAAAATCACCGTGGGATCGAAACTGTATCGTATGCCCTTAAAATCTTATCACGTCTTCTTATTTTTAAACTAAAATTGTTTAAAAAAGTAATAATAAAATACCGAACTCCGATGGTATATTCAAAAAGGGGGAGGTCCATAAAACCTGACAAAATGAAATCTCAACCAACGGAACGAATTGAAATCAACTGTAATACTCCTGACTTGGTACACGCATTTTCAAAGGAAGACCTTTTCCTTTTTTTTAAAATGCAGTCAAAGATATTAAAAAAAAAAGTATCTATTTTGCTAAACTTTGATTTTTATATAGTTGTAGGTTATTTCTATTTCAATAAGGTATATGTTTTTAAAATCCATGCTGATGATCACTATTATTTTGCTTAATCTTTTTATCAGATATTGGTATATGTGTCAGAAGTGAAAGATGTAAATGAATTAAATGTGATTTTGAGACAAACATGAATAAGACAGTAACTCGAAGTCACAAATGTGAAGACACTTTGTTTGATCAGAAAAAAGTTATTGTTAACAGTCTTATATTTAATTACAAGAACTATGTCTGGTCTCACGTTTTAAAATCATCGTTTTTTTTCAATAACAATGTAAATAAATTGTACCTCTTTACCTAGATTTAGTTTAGGGCTTTCTGAAATAGAAATGTTTCGTAGATTGTAAGCTTCTTGTAAAAAGAGAAAAATGTGAACATGCATACATTTTGAAAGTTTAATTTGCAGGTCCTACCTCAGTGTCAACAACCAGCGTCACCACTCTTCTACAACAACAGCAAAATGTACAGATACATTTTCATGTACCTGGGGATGGTAATTATTGTTCAGTTTTTACTTCTTTAATTACAGCATTTTTGCTGCCCTCAACTGATAGGCTTATGCACTATCCTGGACACTCAATTTCTTGTGCGTCTCCACCACATGCTAGACTAAGATAGCAGACCACCATATCAAAATTGCGCAAACACATAATTTTCATCCTCTTAACTACAAACAAGTGTACGCCAATAAGAAGGTCAGCATCCACTTGAAAGGAGCTCACCATATAAGATCTAACAAATATGTTCTTACATAGACCGCATCTTCAGTCATAGCACTCATTTACCTCATAAAATAAAGGATGATCTCCACCAAATTTGGCACGATTTAAAATTCTCTTTAAATTCAACGGTTGCCTTTTACTCTTTTATAAAAGAGGTCTCGGGAAATATATCATTTGATTTATCATCTTTATGTAATATCGGTAAATTTGCTTTTAAAACATTAAATATATCCGGATTATAAGGGTTATTGGTGCTTACAAATGGTGCAATTTCATCGTCTTTTTCTCAATTTTTTAGACCCTGAGTTCCGTTACAGATATATATATGTGCGCTGGACACAGTACAGGCGGAGTTGTCACGATGTCACAGAAACAAGGGTTCGAATCCCGCTGAGGGAAGACAAAAAATTTGCGAATGCAAATTTACAGATGTAACATTGTTGGGCTGAATTTGAGACGAATTATATATATTATATACTATGGTGTAACCCTGTATAATCACGGGTTATCCAATGGAGAATTAACCGGAATAATTCAGTCTTTATAATCCGCTGATCTACGATTACTTCATTAACATTCGGGTTAATGGAGAATGTCTGTCTTAAAGTTTTCACATGTTTAGACGTATATATATATATATATATTTACACCAAGATGTCGTTAAATGAAATTCGATACTCTGCATTTATAATTGCTTTTCAATAACATATGGTCAAATTCCTGAAAGACCGCCTCCTAAAGTATTGGAAACTACCATTCTCATTGACAATAATATCTTTGTGTAAATTAGATACACTCATTCGGGCTAACGCTCTCCAGGTGTATCTAATACATAAAATATTTACAATGTTATGAAAAATAATTAGCGTGTTCAATGGTCATCTATTTAGGTATTGAAACTTATATAAAACTTTTGTAGCTTAAAGGGGCATTAGCTGTCAAATTCATGTTCACCGATTTGACTCAAAATTCTAATATTTGATTTATAACATACTAAAACGTATATCCAAATTATAAAAAGTCTAAAACAAACAATTTACGATGCATGGACTCGATAATATGTATCAGAATTTCGTGTGTATTTTAGTCTTTTTGGCCAACTTATTAACCATCGAGGTGACCCCCGAAGACTGCCGACGGTCATATAACCCGATATTAACATAAATATAAATAGATGTAGAACACGTGCAATTGGATGGTTTTTGTCGAGCCTGTGACTTCTGTCGCACAAAGCTCGACAGGGATAGTGATCCGACGGCGGCGGCGGCGGCGTTAACTAACTTCTTAAAAGCTTAATATTTCAGAAGGTAGAAGACCTGCGACTCATTTCACAAAAAATCTTAAGAGTAAAAATACTCGTAAGTCATACACATTTCAGTATAACTTACGATCAATTTTAATCGTAAGATTTTTTATGAAAAGAGTCGCTGGATGCTTCATTCTTTGTATATAGATGCCAAAGATATGAGGTTTCCGTCTGTCATATGTCCATTGTCCTTGACCTCATTTTCATGGTTCAGTGACTACTTGAAAAAAAAGTTAAGATTTTTTGTAATGTTAACTTTTCTCTTATTATGAGTAATAGGATAACTATATTTGGTATGTGCGTACCTCGCAAGGTCCTCATGTCTGTCAGACAGTTTTCACTTGACCTCGACCTCATTTCATGGATCAGTGAACAAGGTTAAGTTTTCGTGGTCGTCCATATCTCAGATACTATAAGCAATATGTCTACTATATTTGGTGTATGTAATGATTGTAAGGTGTACATATCCACATGGCAGGTGTCATCTGACCTTGACCTCATTTTCATGGTTCAGTGGTAAAAGTTAAGTTTTTGTGTTTTGGTCTGTTTTTCTAATACTGTATGCAATAGGTCAACTATATTTGGTGTATGGAAATATTTTACGATGTACATGTTAGTCTGGCAGGTTTTATTTTACCTTGATCTCATTTTCACGGTTCATTGCTCAATGTTAAGTTTTTGTGTTTTAGTCTGTTTTTCTAATACTGTATGCATTAGGTCAACTATATTTGGTGTATAGAAATATTTTTACGATGTACATGTCAGTCTGGCAGGTTTAATTTGACCTTGACCTCATTTCCATTGTTCATTGCTCAATGTTAAGTTTTTGTGTTTTGGTCTGTTTTTCTATACCGTATGCATTAGGTCAACTATATTTGGTGTATGGAAATATTTTACGATGTACATGTCAGTCTGGCAGGTTTTATTTGACCTTGACTTCATTTTCATGGTTCATTGCTCAATGTTAAGTTTTTTGTTTTTGTCTGTTTTTTTTCAACTTTAAGCAATAGGTCAACTATATTTGGTGTATGGAATGATTCTAAGGTGTATATGTCTGTCTGACAGGTATCATCTGACCTCCACCTCATTTTCATGGTTCATTGGTCAATGTTCAGTTTTCCTGGTTAACTTTGTTTCTTAGATACTATAAGTAATAGGTCAACTATATTTGATGCATGGAATGATTTTAAGGTGTACATGTCTGTCTGGCAGGGTTCATCTGACCTTGACCTCATTTTCATGGTTCATTGGTCAATATAAAATTTCCATGGTTTGGTCTGTTTCTTTTATACTATAAGCAATAGGTCATCTATATTCGGTGTATGGAATGATTGTATTAAAGGTGTACATGTATTTCCGGCTTGGTTTATCTAACCTTGACCTCATTTTCTTGGATCATAAATGTTAATATGATACTTGTAGTAAAACTTTATATTTAGGACTATCAACATAAAATCAATGGTCAATATAGTAGGCGAGACATTTCAGCGTGTGTAGTCTTGTTTTTAGGTCTGTTTGATTTCATATTATAGGTTAAAAAATATGTTAATCATCGTTTTTACCTGTATAAAAATGAGTTTTTGTGGATCGAATCAGTCAACCAAATGGTTGTCCCTTGTTTCACTTTCAATGATGACATTTTTTTCCTTTTAAAAGCTGAACACGCCTAGTTCCTGCGTAACCCATCCTAAGCTAAGGGGTTAAATTGAAGTTCACATGAATACAGATTCAATGAGGTCGAATTATTCACTTGCAAGTGAATAATTAGTCAGCGATGTTTCTTAACTTATTTTGACAAAATTGAACAAAACTGGCTGTTAAAAGCGAATTATTATTTTACTATTTCACTTTCCTTAATGATTGAAAAAAAAATCATATTGATTTTTTTAAATCTCGTAGCTAATGCCCCTTTAGCTTACAGTTCGTACACACAGATGCGTTAAAATTTACGACTTTCAAGATTTTTTCGTTTGATTTATAATATAACTGTTGTTGTAGTTATGTTAGTTTGCAACGCCAATTTGACAATATTACAAAGATGTTGAGGACGATGTCACACTGTAAACTTTTTCTTTCCTGTACCGTTTTTCTTATATTTCATTCAAACCGTCAGGTTCTAATGTATGGAGTTCTGAATCCAATATTAGATGCAGTCGTAGTGTCGGCTTTTCAGACAGTGATGTTCATAAACTGATTGAAGAGCCGATCGTTATATATACAGTAACGTTCATTAACTTTCTGAAGAGCCGATACTACGACTGAAAGCGCTGACTGTTATTATTATGTAATTCATTGTATTTTTTCGCATATTATTATTCAAATATATACAATAAAATCAATTCTTTATAAATTTGACTGTTATTGTAAGAAACAGATTACATCTTACACTTATGGTTTTTGTATTTTATTTTTAGCTGTAGCAATCAATATCCATGAGGCAGAAAATTTAATGGTGAACACTGGAAATGGCCACGGTGTCATGAATGTGACGAGTCTTCTAGCTAACGAAGGTTTGTAAACTAAAATTGTAACTTGACTCAGACATCTTTGAAAATAAAAATTATGTCTAGAAGCTCGTGTAAATAGTTTCAATTTTTTTTTTTTTTTAGCATTTTATTTTTTCTATTATGCAGGTACGGATCTACAATTAAGTAACTCTGAGGAATCTATGATTTACGAAAGAGAGCAAAATGCGCCTGAAAAAGAGACAAGTTATCTACATGAAGGTATACTGGGCTACTTGTACTTAAAACATTAATTATATTTCAGTGTATTATGATATTAAAACTTTACTTTTTTCGAAAACATTTTTTCATATTCAATTAGCCGATATGTTACAAATTTACAATAACTATTAACGTATTGGTACAATGACAATCATTGGACAACAGAAATCAGTCTTGGTGCAACCACACTTACGAATGTAATATGCGGGGCTAAATTTTCAAGTGTTTAACCTAGTATTAAACCTCATACCGAATAACACAGTTATGTTTAGTTGTCGTTGTAACAATTTCATGTAAAATAAATGTTACACAGATAATCAAGGATCAGATTAAATGATACAGATGTCATTGGAATAGTTTTTTGAAAACAGCTATCCATACATTAATACATAAACATAACATGTAAATATTAATCTGCTATCGAAAACTACTTAACAGAATTAAATTATAAACCTGATATTTTGATCAGCTTTTTACTGCAGAACATTTACACAAACTTAGGTATTCAGCAGCTAGTAATCAACCTGAATCAACAACTTATATGTCTCTTTATGTGTGTTTCTTATGAAAGCATTATTTTGACCCTGATAAAAAAACCTTTCTGTCAATATATATAAATGCAACTTTATGTTTTGTAGAGGATGAGGCATTTTTAATAGAAAGATTTAAAGAAATGCAATATGTATTTGTGGAGACAGAGAGGTACAAAAAAGCACTCCAGATTTTACTGGAAAATAATTTCGAAGTTATAACTGGATTGTCAGGGGAAGGAAAGACGTTTTTAGCAATGAAACTCATTTATGATTTGACTCAGAAAGGACTTATGTTTAAAGAAATTACAGCAAGCACTGCCTTTCACGATTTTGAAAGCTGTGAAAAGACAGTTTTCCTCATGGATGATGCGTTTCAAATTGACAGTTTGGATCCACAATGGCGTATTGTTGAAATCCAGAATTTCATAGAATCTAATATTCATAGCGAAAAGAACAATTTTCTCATCATGACATCAAGGAAAGGTCCCTTAGTATCTGTTAAAGATAGAATGAAACAATCATGGCTCTTGAATGGAGACTATACCATTGATTTTACAGAAGTTGGATTGTCAATGGGGGAAAAGCATGATATTATTTTAAAGCATATTGACAGATTTCAACCAAAAGAAAACATCGACGGAATTGATAAAATGAAAATTGCAAAAGAAGTAGCCGAAGTTACCTGTCAAGGTTTTGCAAACTGTGCTTATTTTTTCGTCCGGAACAAAAAATGGTTTAATAAAGGTGTAGATTTTTTTAAGAATCCAATTAAAACCATTAGAGATGATGTCGATAGTTTACGAGAATCAGATCCGAAAATATACGTGTTTTTATTATATCTGCTTCTGAAAGGCGGACGAATGAGAGGAACTACTTTGGACACTTGCGAAAGTGACGATGGTGTTATAAATCTTTTACAGAAAATCAGGTATTTCCCAAAGGAGGAATACTGTGCCATTTTGAATGATGCTTTGCACCAAGTAGAATACGTTTATGTAAGTAGAGTTGATTCCATAGGAACCTATACGTTTCGACATGATTATATTGTAGAAGCAGTCTGCATATCTTTTAGCAAAATATTACCACGTGAAGCTATTATGAATGTTCCATTTGACTTTATTTCAACCCGAATTCGTACAGATGATTATAATGCATATATAACAGATATGATCATTTTAAAGCCTGACCGTTACGACGATCTAGCAACTAGATTTATTAGAGAACTTACCATAGGAAATATAAGAAGTATTTGCGAACATCCGGCTAGTAACGATGCAAAGTTTTCCAAAATTTTCATTTCAAAACTACATGCCGATACAAAAAAGCAGTTTTTTATCCAAATAACTGAAAGAGCATACAGGTCAACCTTAAATGGATCTTTGTTGTACTGGTCTGCATCATGTGGTGCTCAACATCTCTGCCTACGTATTTTGAAAAGTGAAATGTATTCAAATATAAAAGATAAATTCTGGTTGCGAACACAGGCTTCAGCTGCATTGGTGCCTTCTTGCTGGTTCGGGTTCAATATTAATATCATAGATGGGTTGTTAAAGTTGGGAGCGGACATAAACAGTTCGATACATTCAGAAAGAAGATTTCAGACATATACATCAGACTGTTTGGCTGTGCATGACCAAAAAGGGTGGACTCCAGTTCAATCGGCCGTTTGTGGAACAAATAGCAACAAAATAGTGTACATAGAAGAATTGATAAAAAGAGGCTGTCATTTCCAGGAAAAAGAAAAAATGCAGAGACCGTTAATTCATGCCGTACAACAGGAGAATTTAAAGCTAGTAGAAACTCTTGTACAAAATGGAGTAAATATTCATGCAGTTGACATACGACAATTGCCTGCTGTTTATTACGCTATTGAAACAAATCAAATTGAAGTAACACGTCTCCTTCTTTCAATAATGAATGAAGATGAACAACTTACAGTGTTTGTTCGCCCTAAAACTTTAAAAATGATGCGACTTATAGAAACACACGTCGACTTCAACATAAAAGACGCGAACGAAAAAGGTCTACTGCATCATGCTGAAGACCCCGACATTGTTGATTTCTTGGTGAAGGATAAAGGTCTGTCGACGGAAATACTTGACAAGGAGAAACGAACTCCATTATACTATGCAAGTAACGTTGATGTTGTAACAAAGTTATTAGAGCTCGGGGCTTCTTATGTTGTAGATAAATCGAATGGTGATACTTTGTTGCATGTACAGAAAGATTCGACAATCATCGAACATATTCTTCAAATATGTCCTGATATAAGAAAATCAATTAATGAAACAAATTTGTTAGGTTTGCATGCCGTTTTTGCGGCTACATCAGACGTTCTTAAAATACTAATAAAATATAATGCCAATTTAAACGTACAGTGTCCATTTAAAGCACAAAGGCAAATAAGTGGAGAATTATTACTAGATTTACCGAAGAGAAAGGGCACATCAGAAAAATCAGTTGAAAGAAATACTAACATGGGATCTGTAGAGGACTCTAAAGTAGAAGTAGCTAGACATGACTATGTGAGAGATTTTGTGAAACAAGGAAAGGGAATATCGGAAGCATCCTTCGATAAATTGACCGATGTGAGTTCAACAGAGGGTTTCACTGAAGACACGAGTCTATCTCAAACAGAAATTGAAGGTTGTTCTTATGATGAGTTTTTGCCTACAAAAGATTTCACTGTCTTGATGAAACGTGCATCAGAAGGACGTCTATCACCAGATCTGCTCCAACTATGTCTCGCCAGTGGGTACAACATAAGTATTCAGGATGGTGAACAACGAACGATTATGCATTACATTATTTTACCGCAGCGTCGTTTGAAAGAAGTATCAAATCTTCTGCAGATCATAATCAATCATGCTAAGAAACTGTCAACGGAAAACAAGAATGTTCTTATGGAACTTTTAAATATCCAGGACTTAAACGGTGACACTGCTCTTCATCTTGCTTGTTTATGCTCAACAAAAACCAAACTAAAAAAACAACATGAAAATATAGTAAAAACCTTATTGGATTCGGGATCTGATCCAAACATATTGAATAACACAGGCGAGATGCCACAGCATATGTTGATGCGATGCCGATGTTGTCTGAAAACAAACATTTTTAAACTTCTGTTTTCGCGAACTTCAGACCCAATGAATACGTCGAAGGCAGATAGGCTGATGCATTATATCTGTAAAACGTTTACGTATTTTAAGGATATTGATACAGATGTACTTGCGGATATTAAAAAAACTTTATTACTTCTGCTGACTGACACTCAAACAATTAGTTGCTTTTTGCAATATTGTATAGATATGAAGACAGATCCAAACTTGATTGTATTTGTGATCGTGAAAGTAATAAATGCACTGGAAGACATAAAGAAAAGCATTGTGGAAATTGGCTTGAAGAAAAAATCTCTTAATAGTGGAATCATTTTGACGTTTATGCATTCACAGATGGAACCACATGAACGAGACGCTTTGTTCACAAACAACAATCTACATTTGTTATTCGGATTCGGTGTTAAAAAATTGCTGGAAAAAGATACCATAATTGAATACATTGAAAATCTTTTCCAACAAAATATAAATGTCAATTTGAAATCAAAAACCGGAGAAACATTTCTATCCTGGACACTTAAGCACTCACCAAGTCGAAATAGGGCACACGTAATTGAAATCTTATTAGCCAAAGGTGCAAAAGTTGTTAAAAAAGAATCGATATTTGATTGTCTTCAGGCAGACGGGGATGATGATGTTATTTTGAAATGTCTAAAGCTTTTGCTACAATATGGCAGCAGCCTTTCCGATGGATGCCCATTGATATGGTCTGTAACAGCATCACCTACTAAATATAAAACATTAGAATTCATTATGGGTCATGTTGATACAGACTTTAGCCAGTGCGATGGAAATGGATACACAGTTTTTCAAATCTTTATTGAACAGCTGAGGTCGCCTGAACAAATTAAAAATTCGGTACATTTATTTCGCAAATTATTTGAAAATATGGATAACAACGACGCCTTTATATTGACATTAAAAGCACGCCTATCGGATTCATTAGTTCTCGAAACTTTACATTATACAAATATCAACGGGACTGATTCTATAGGCAGAACTCCCCTTCAAAATGTTATCTACTATTATGAACATAATGAAGGAATAGGCGAATTAGAAATTATCAAACAAATTCTGAAACTGGTTGGGAAAATAAGCAACAGGGACCATTTAAGACGCAGCTTTCTACGCACACTTGTCTCCCGGATGAAATCGGAAACAGTAAAAGTCCTTCTTTACTATTTATCTAGTGATTTATCTTACCCTGAACAAATTCAGACGGATATCAATTCTCAAGATGACAACATGAACAGCGTTCTGCACCACGTTTGCTTTATTAATACTGGAGATCATCAATCCGATCTACTTAACTGTTCTTCCCTCCGAGTTTCAATTATGCGAATTTTATTGGCAAATGGTGCCAACATCAATATTGTTAACGCTAAGCACCAATCTGTTTTACATGTTCTTGTTCAGGCTTGCATAGCTGCACAATTTGAGCATATTATACATCCTGTTGTAGAACTGATTAATTTGGTAATTTCTCATGGAATAAACAAAGATAAAAAAGACAGTAACAACCAAACTGCCTTAGACTATATACCAAAAGACAATGATGCAATGGATAGTCTCGCTAGAATGATTAGGAAAGAGATAAAACCAGAGAACATTATATTAAAGGAGTCTCTTCCACTACTGAAAGATTGACAATTTATGAAGTTGTACAATTATCACTGAAGATATTTGTTGCATAAAGCGCTTTCAGGTGTATGTTGAACTCTGATCCGACGGAAAAATACGGAATAAACCAGTTTAACTTTTCTTTTGGCATTTGAAAATTCTTTCTTGCTATAAGGTTAGCGAAATGATAATACATAAAAAGAAGTTGAAAACATAGCTCTTACAAATACTTAATAATTACATATGAAATAACACACTTACGTGTGAACTCGCAAGTGCAAGTAAAGAAATGGTAGGGGTAAATAGTAGGCATAATTTGAAATTTAAAAGAAGTGATCAAGGGTAATTTTTGTCTCGCCTTCGACGAAAGTCGCAGTATGCGAGACATAGGTATTACAATTCGGCGGCATCGGCGACGGCGTAAATCATTTGTTTAAAGCATTATATTTCAGAAGGTACAACACCTGGATGCTTCATACCTTATGTGCATTTACCTTATGTTACGAAGTTTTCATCTGCCATATGTCCATTGTCCTTGACTTCATTTTCATGGTTCAGTGACTGCTTGAAAAAAATTACTGTTTTTTTGTTAAGTGAAATACTCTATATTTGGTATATGAGTTCCTTGCAACGTCTACATGTCCGTTAGGTAGGGTTTACCTGACCTCAACCTTATTCCATGGATCAGTGATCAAGGTTAAAGTTACGTGGTGAAGTCCGTATCTCAGATTTTATAAGCTGTAGGTCAACTATATTTGGTGTATGGAGAGATTGTAAGGTGTACATGTCTGACTGACAGGTTTCACCTGATCTTGACCTCAATTTCATGGTCATTGGACAATTTTTAATTTTTGCGGTTTGGTCTTTTTCTCAGATTTTATAAGCAATAGGTAAATTATATGTAATGTATGGAACAATTGTTGGGTGTACATGTCTGTCTGGCAGGGTTCACATGACTTTGATCTCATTTTCATGTTTCATTGGTCAATAATAAGTTTTCGTAATTTTGTCAGTTTATCAGATACTATAAGCAATAGGTCATCAACTATATTTGGTGTACGGAATGATTGTAAGGTGTACATGTCTGTCTGGCATGGTTCATATGACCTTGACCTCATTTTCATGGTTAATTGTTCAATTTTAAGATTTTGTGGTTTGATCTGTTTCTCAGGTACTATATTTGGTGTATGGTATGATTGTAAGGTGTGCATGTCTGTCTGACATGGTTCATCTGACCGTGACCTCATTTTCATAGAACATTGATAATGTTAAGTTTATGTGATACTTTTCGTAAAATCTCAATATTACAGACTGTCAACATGAATTCAATGATAAGTAAAACAGGCGAGACATTTCGGCGTGTATTCTCTTGTTATTGTATACATTAACTGCTTTGAATGTACCACCCGTCATGCGACTAAACACTTATGTTCAGTAGTTACTGCCACCCCAATGAAATTGACAGCATTAGTTATGATGTCATTGGTGCATAAAAGAACCGTTATGATTTATGACAAAGTATATATTTTGTCCGTTTAATGACTTTGATAATATAGGGAAATCAATTCCAAGTATTAAAAAGTAAAACAACAAAAATACCGAACTCCAAGGAAAATTCAAAACGGAAAGTCCCTTAACAATTGGCAAAATCAACAGCTCAAACACATCAAACGAATGGAAAACAACTGTCATATTCCTGACTTGGTACAGGCATTTCCTTATGTAGAAAATGGTGGATTAAACCTGGTTTTAAAGCTAGCCAAACCTTTCACTTGTATGACAGTCGCATAAAATTCCATTATATTGACGACAATGTGTGAACAAAACAAACAGACATATTAGGTAAAATTGTCAAAAATAGGGGTACAGCAGTCAACATTGTGTTATAATCTCAATCACCATAAAACAAACATGTCAACAATGAAAAACAAAATGGCATATAGACAAAGCACATACGCAAAAATGAAACACAAGAATACAAAAAATGACCACAGCACAACAACACAATGGCGGGATGTACATGTACCGAGCCACGCCTAAAGGATATAACCAAAAAAAGGACCAAACAGTAAACGTTAATAATTTACAAAGACAAATAAAACAACACTATAACACGTAATCAAGATGATAAACAACGTCAGTACCTATAATCTATACATCAAGACCATCATGTATTATTTGTGAAGTTGATACGGAATATTTATCAACAAGGTCTTGGTATCTTCCGATGAACTTTTTTTTAGAAACCCTGGTTCATCAACTTTCTGCTCAGACACTGGTGACGTTTTACAAAGTCTGAGTTGTAGCTGCAAGCTCTTGAATACCGAATGAGTTGGCAAATGTATATCCCATATGCAGGTGAAGTTGGTACATTGCTACTAAGGTGGGGGAAATCGATAATCTTAAATCAAAATCGTCTCGTTTGTCATAGATTCTGGTACTGAGATGACCGCTTATGTCAAATTCGAGGTATAAGTCTAAAAATGAGACGGAAGATGCCATGTCTGTGGTGTCTTTAATTTCTAGTTCTGGGGGATATATTAATGGAACCCAATCAGAAAAGTTTGGATTGTTTATGGAAAGAACATCATCAATATATCTGAATGTGAAATTAAATGATCTGGCTTCTTTGATCTTCTTGTTTTTGACAAGCGTCTGAAGGAACTCATATGAAAATAAGAAGAGGTCGGCAAGGGGTGGCGCAACTTTCGTTCCCATAGGAATGCCGACAATTTATTGAAAAAGATTACCTCCAAATTCAACAAATATGTTGTCAATAAGAAACTCCAGCATACTGATCACTTGTTCCTCTGTGTAGCATGTTTTACCTTTCACTATTAACAAAATATGCCGTATGGTATCCCAAGTAACACATTTATAGCGTATGCTTCCATTTTTATATTGAAAAGCATTGTGGATTATTTCTTTTAGACGATTTTTCAATTTCACATGAGGAATGGTGGTATACAGAGTTGAAAAATTAAAAGTTTTGATAGAATTTATTTCAGAGAAAGATCTAGATTTAAAATTATCCAGAAGTTCTTTAGAGTTTTTTAGAATCCACATATTGTTAATTAACAGTTTCACAGTATTTCTGAAGACCCTCTTTCACTGCGGACAGAATTTTTGTCAATCTAGTGGACAATTCCTTTGTAGAACATGCAGATGAGCCGGCAATGTACCGTTGCTTGTACGTAATTTTGTGAAGCTTATGTATCCAATACAAACATGGTAAGTCCTCAGATTTGCTGTTCGATGTAATGTTCATTGAAGCCATGAAGGACTTATGATTCGCCAAAATCTCATCCTTGTCAAATGATATGTTTTTGTATGTGGGATTACCTGAGTACTCATTTATTCCTAAGTCTTTTACAAGACACTCGTAGTAGTACGATTTAAATACAAAGACAATATTATTTGAAGCTTTGTCCGCAGGAACAACAACATATTTATCGTGAAGAAATGATATACATTTCACAGCTTCTTTTTCTCTGAAAACGGACTTTGGTCGATTATTCACACAGTTTTTCAACTTATGAATTCGACGTTTTATCAGAGACCTGATTGTTTTGACCCATTCTGACAAAGTGTCTGTTTCAAATTCTTCTCGTTTAGCCATTGCTCTGGCGTAGTCCTCAATGGAATCCATAATTATTTTGAAGTTATAGTTCCAATTGATGTTTTGGGGTTCTCTCAACTTAGGACCATGAGATATCACCTTTCGGAGATGTTCATGTTGAATTTTGTTAAGATCCCCAGTAATAACATGGCCAGAGGGGCTGTAAAGATAAGGGGAATGGGAACAGTCACATGTCAGAGGGTTTTGTAGATATTCTTCTAAATCAAGGTACTGCAATGCAATGCTTGCTTATAGTTAAATACTTTAGGTGCAATAGTTTTTGTGTAACTGTAGGATACAATATGGACCGACTGATTTTGAAAATAAAGTGGAATTTTAGATGTTACCTCCTTGTGATGGAGAACGTTGCTGGTGTTGATTGCATCAATTCCTTTATTTAAAACCTGAACTGGAAAGAATTTCCTCTTTTCATCATGTAAAGGTTCCGATCTTACTGGTTTAAAAAGATGGAAAAGAGCTACATCACAAATAATACTGACTAGTCTGTATATAGGAGAAAATGTATCTATACATGATATTATACTTTAACTTTGTTAAAACCTGTTTATTTACTTTTGACTTTAATTATTTATCCCTTGTAATTATTTATCCCTTGTAATTTTTTATTAACTGTGTATTTGCATTCAGGTGTCACAGGTCAAATTTATTCGTTCATTGTGTGTTTATTTACGTTTTTTGATTGAGTTAAGCCTTCCAATTGATATTTTATAGTGTGTTTTTCTATGTTGTGATGTTATACTATTGTTTCAGAAAAGGGAGAAGGTTTGGTACCATTAAAACGTTTAATCCCGCTGCAAATGTTTGCATCTGTCCTAAGTCAGGAATCTGATCACAGTAGTTGTCGTCTGTTTATGTGGTTCATACGTGTTTCTCATTTCTCGTTTTTATATAGATTAGACCGTTGGTTTTTCCGTTTGAATGGTTTTACACTAGTAATTTTTTTGGGGCCCTTTACAGCTTGCTATTCGGTGTGAGCCAATGCTCCGTGTTGAAGGCCGTACCTTGACCTATAATGGTTTACTTTTATAAATTGTAACTTGGATGGAGAGTTGTCTCATTGGCACTCATACCACATCTTCCTATCTATCCCTTGTCAAGTGCATAATCTCTCAAATATTTTAGAAAATTAACTGGCAGTGAAAAAAAGAATAGTTCTAATGTAATGTAACCCTAGCGGATGGTGAAGATGTGAAAGTAGGTCTTCAAAGCTCCCAGAGGGTGGTCTAAATTTGGAAGACTTTTTTACATTGGGCCGATGGTAACTTTTTTGCCCATGACTACGCTGGTGTCTTAAAGTAGTATTAAATACTAAAGTAAGCTCATCACATTAACATCACTGCAGGCTGGACTTGACAAATTTCCCACTCCTTTGATGTTATCATTGCAACCATATGGCATTGCAGTACCTAGAAAGGAGTACTTAGTATAGGACTAATGGTGTGGTGATAAATTTTCTCGATAATGCGTACTTTCATAGATAAAGAAAGATCATGGTCCGGTT